TTTTTTTTTTTTTTTTTTTTTTTTTGTAACATCTTCTAAGATTTTTTTCCATGTCTGTGTACAATCTATACTGCTGCCTTAATTCTTTATTGATTTAGCTCTAAGTGTTTTTCTATTTTTAGTAATGAAATCACATATTTGAGTTGGTTTATTTTTTCCTAATAGATGGTAAAACAAACAAATAATGCTTTTGTGAAATACATACTCATCCTGCACATTACTGACAAATAGTCTAGCTTGTCTGGAACTAGTCTGATTTTAGACAGTAACGACTGGTAATGATACATTTTCATTTCTCCTGGTGGGTTTTTTTTTTTTTTTTCATGTAGCTTTCATTACATAAACAAATGTAGCAGTATAGGGGATATTTTTTCAGGGCCTGAAGTAAGGACCAACTGTAGAGATGGCTTAGGTGGTAGAGCAAAGAGTAAATCAATACAAAATTTTCAGTCTTACTGATGTTCTTAAATCACTTTTGCCAAAAGTTTGGCTTTTTTTTTTTTTTCCCCAGTATCTTTCTCTTACTTCTCATGTTGAATTCATCAGCCTGTTGTGGGGATTTGGCCCACATAACCTTGATGTAGGCTACTGTGGCTCTAGTCCCCACCATCCCCTCTCCCCTAGACTGTTGTGGTAGCCTTCCAATCAGGCTTCTGCTTCGGCATGGCTGGTCACAGCATCGTTTACACAGCTACACAGTGCTTCTGGTAGCTTTAATGCATCCAAACCACTTGGATGGCTAGAATGGACTGTTTATAAAACAAGGTGGGTCACTATTGGAGTTTCCTTGGAAGCTCTACTAGTCTCTTGTACAAGTTTGGATCATTCAGTGATGTTTTACAGAAAGAAAATACCTTTTGATTTATAAAATTGTGATTTTTTTTTTTATACTTTAGATAGAAAAACTGAAAGGAGAGTTAGATGAAGCTAGGCTTAGTGAAAAGCAGCTAAAGCACAAAGTAGACCACCAGAAGGAACTCCTGTCTCATAAATCGGAGGAAATACGGATGATGTCTGAGCGAGTCCACGAAAGCATGTCTTCAGAGATGCTGGCTCTTCAGGTCGAGCTGACTGAAATGGAAAGTGTGAAGGTAATTTTTATGGCATGTGTTTTCTTAGATTTTTAAATTTTTCTTTTGCATACATTTTATGTGTTTTTATAATAATTCTAATGAGCTAATGTGGAGGAAGAAATGTTTTTTTGACCTACTTTGATCTAACTATCCAAAAAATGTTTTATGTAGTTTAGGTGAATTACTTTATTTATAAAATAGTATTAGGTGACCTGATTAAATAAGGCAGACAGTACCTTAGATTAATGAAAGCTCTGAAAGGACATAGACATTTTCTGATCCTAGTTTGTGTCATAATATAAAATGTTAGTACAGTGGAAGTTGAAATTTGTGTGAACATAGATTTTTCATTTCAGAGTATGAGTCATTAAAAATTAAAGCCCTGAATTCACAGTCAGAAGGAGCAGTCTCTAGAGCCTTTTGTTTGGTTCCCTGCTGAAAAATTAAGTAATTTTTAAAATTTTAATAGGTATCTGACAACTTTGACAGGTTTTTGTAGTTTTAATTTGAATGTGAACCACTACAGATAAGTTAGCTGAGCAGCTGCTAAATGAAAGCATTTTCAAGAGAATTTTGTCTTTCAATTTCTGTTGAATAGAATGCTCTCAAGGAAGAAGTGAATGAACTACAGTACAGACAGGAACAACTAGAACGTCTTAGTACTAACTTAATGCGCCAGGTAGACCGACTTAAAGAAGAAAAAGAAGAGCGGGAGAAAGAAGCAGTTTCATACTATAATGCCTTAGAGGTATTATGATTACAGTAGTATTGTCTCCAGTTTTTAAATTGTTTTCATGCTAATTTAATCTCTATTAGCTAAATTGTTTTCTTTTGAATTTAGAAAGCTCGTGTAGCAAATCAAGATCTGCAGGTGCAATTGGGCCAGGCCCTCCAGCAAGCCTTGGATCCCAATAGTAAGGGCAACTCTTTGTTTGCAGAGGTACTTACAAATATTCTAATAATTGAATTGGGTAAACTGTTATTTCATTTAGTACAAGAACAATTAAACATATCAATGTTTTCCAGGTAGAAGATCGAAGGGCGGCAATGGAACGCCAACTTATCGGTATGAAAGTCAAGTATCAGTCACTAAAGAAGCAAAATGCATTTAATAGAGAACAGATGCAAAGAATGAAGGTGTGGAATTACCGCTCTTAAATGTTTGTTAAATCTACTTCATATTAGCATTATATAGATAAATATATCACAAAAGCCATCTTTTCCTTTAAGGGGTATACTTTTATATTTTTTTCTAGAACTGCATGATTTTTTTAAAAATTAGAAATTCCAGGTAGATTATAAGATACTTTTATGTTTTCAAAAAGTTAATCTTGGAAAAACATTAGTGTGTTTAGCAACTACTAATTGTTTATTTTAATGATCATTCGCCAACCTTGCCAGGGAGATTTAAATCTTTGTAGAATAGGGAAAAGGAATTTAAAAGTGTTTGTTTCTCACTTATTCTGAGTCTTTCTGGGTTCCCGCATCAAATGAGACTAGCTTTTGCCATTTCTCACTTCTCATGAAGGCTTATTTTAGATGGAAATTTGAACTATTTAGGGTTCCCTTTTCTTGCAGCTCCTCAAAGCATGTAATTAACCCCTTTAATTTTAAGGGTTTTGTTGGTTGTTGCTGCACACAAATAAGAAGTAACAGAAAACCTTATGGCAATTAGAAAGATTCCAAGATTATAGCAGTCCTTAGAATTCCAATGCATGGTCTGTTCTGCCTGACGTTCCTAAGGTGGTGTTTGGAAGAAAGTTTAGATTTTTTTTTCAAGATATCAGTTTTACCAGAGAAATGGGAAAGGTCACTGATCAAACTTGGAATTAGATGGACTGGATTGAAGCATAGTTGTCATTTGCTAGATGTGTTACCTGGGACATATATTCTGAGAGCATCTAAAAGGCATACCATATTTACAAAGTAGAGGTGATAGAACTTGCCTCTCAGAACTGTCTTGGGGTTAAAGTGTAGAAAAATACTCATATGGTACTTCCCATTCTTATCATTGTGAATATCATGTTTGTGACTGAGCTGCTTAACAATTTCCCCTACTTAAGTAAAGCTAATGGAGAATTTTGAGAAATCGCTTTAACAGGAGTTAGTATAGGTGATGAATAGCAGGCCACATTTGTCCAGGCTTACTTACCAGTTAAATGACACCCTCTGGACCACAGTCATGCTGTTCAATTTTGTATCACAAACTAGGTAAAACTATATTAAAGACTTCAGATATCATTAAAAAGTAGAAATACTCCAAAGTTATGTCTACAACAAAACTAATTGATGTATATTTTCCAATTATTAGACTAGAAATAACTAATTAGTTTTCAAAACAAGTTCTAAATAATATTAGTACAGAATACAAATTGTTCCAGAAATATGCTTATCAGAATATCTCAATTTTGTTGTGGTGGGGGAATTCTAGTTACAGATTGCTACATTGCTACAGATGAAAGGATCTCAAACTGAATTTGAGCAGCAGGAACGGTTGTTTGCCATGTTAGAGCAGAAGAACGGTGAAATAAAACATCTTTTAGGTGAAATTAGAAATCTGGAGAAATTTAAGGTACGTATAATATCTTGAAAAGATGTGGCTAGATTTTTATTTGAATATCTTAAATTTTCAGTTTAAATAGGTTTCTCATCGTATAATTGACTTTCAGTTTCAGTACATATTGACTCAATCTTTAAATTATTTTTTTCTTGTCTCTGCTTTTCAGTATTATTGACCATGCTTCTTTTACTAAAGCAAAGACAAACCAATCTATTCTATTTTTGTTGTTATTATCTGGTTATTGTTTGTAAGTACCTATATCTTTAGTGTACAACTCAGTGAGTTTTAACATATATATGTTTATATATATACACACATACACACATATTTATATCTGTATATGTATATTCTTACAATTACTATCAGATTACATAAAATATTCCTAGCACTCCAGAAAAGCCCCATTTAAATGGAGTGCTCCCACCTCCTAACTTTGTGTCAACATTATGTGAACATTCTGTTGAACTTCATATAAATTGAATCATGTAATATATATACCCTTGTTTCTGTCTTCTGCTCAGTGTTATGTCAGTGAGATTTCTTGCCTGAATGTCATCAGTAATTATTTTTTAGTGCTATCTGTTCCATTATTTTTAGAGCTTTGTCAATTCAACATTGTATATCCACTGGAATTTATGGATGTCTTTAATAAATTCTAATAAATTTATTTTATTTTGCAATTAGTGCAACCTTCCAGGAAAGTGAAAGTACTCCTACATGCCTTTGACTCAGAGCTCCCTATTTCTTATTTGTACGCTTTATTTATAACTTTTTCTGTTTTTATATTTTTTTTCTTAAACTTTGAGAGTGAGTCCCAAACCAGATGTCCTTTTACCCCTAAGCACCATGATGTTATTGGAGATATAAGCAAATGGTCAAAATTACAAATTAACATTGATATGCATTGAACCATGCTATTAACCAAGCTACTTTTTACATTTTGCCAGTTATCATTGATACCCTGTTATGGTTTAGATATGAGATGTCCTTCAAAAGCTCTTGTGTTAGTGCAAGAATTTTTAGAGGGGAAATGTTTGGATTATGAGAGGTTTAACCTGATCTGTGGATTGATCCACTTATATGGATTAACTGAGTAGTAACTTTAGGCAGGTAGAGTGTGACTAGAGGAGTTAAGTTACTGGAGGGGTGACTGGAATTTTGTCCCTGGTAAGCAGAGAGCTCTCTCTCTCTGCTTCCCGATTACCATTTTCTAACTACTTTCCTCCCCCACACCCTTTCACTATGATATTCTACCTCACCTTGGGCCCAGAGCAATAGAGTTGGCCATCTGTGGATTGAGACCTGAAACCATGAACCCCAAATAAACTTCTCCTTACATTGTTCTTGTTAGATCTTTTGGTCACAGAGACCAAAAAAAAAAAAAAAAAAAGCTGATGAAAACATACCCTAAGCAAATTTTAAAAGAAAAAAAAAAAATCTAGTGTTTTCAATTCTAGGGCCTAATCCAAGGTTGCATGTTTTACCATGAAGTCTCTTCAGTCTTCCTTAATCTGGAACAGTTTCTCTTTCTTTATTTTGACATTTTTGAAGAAAAAATTGTTTATATGACTTTATCCCTGTTTCTTCTAAAAACTATTAAAAGTATTATAATTTTAGCTAAATTTGCAGTGTGTCACTTCGCAGGTATATGTAGTCTATCCCTGGGGCTTTGTGCTATACTTTGAAAATTGTGACCTTAAATTAGGAGGATTTTTAAATGTGCAATCTCTGAAATTCTTTGCAAGTTTTTAAACATCTGCTTTTTTTTTTCCAGTAAAGAAAATATTCAAAGAGTGAATCAGAATATTTAAAGCGTGGGTACCAAAAATAACCTCAAGAATCTCCTCTTTTTCGTATTTTTCCATTGTATAGCTTTGTCATACCAGAATTCAACCCAAAAAGCATTTGCTTCTCTCATTCTAAAAGCCAGGAGAGTGAAATCCTAAGACAGGTATAGTTGGAGTCAGAGATATGAGTGTGAGTTAGATCTGGATTCACAATCTAGCTCTTGATTTACTTGCCGGTAGTACCTTGAGCCACTTTTCTTACCTGAGGAAGGACTGGTGGTTCTTGTACCTACTGCACTCAGGTAAGTGGGTGGATCTTTGAAGAGTATTTGTCAAAGGATGAGAGATTAACATGTGGCTGCTGCCACTGTTAATAAGCATACAGTAACCTAATTTGTTATGTAAGTAATAAGAATTTTTGCTTTCTTTAGAATTTATATGAAAGTATGGATTCAAAACCTTCAGGCAACTCTGGTGCTCTGGAAGATAACACCTATTATACAGATTTACTTCAGCTAAAGCTTGAGAACTTAAAGTAGGTGTCTGGGTTGGCAGATGGAAGATAAAGACTTTTTATTTATTTTAATAGATGGTATTCATATAATAACAAATTTTTAAGTTCAAATTGCCAAAAGGAATTTCCACAGAAAAGAAAGTCAATAACATGTCTTTGTGTAATACATGAGTTGTATGCAAGATTTAATAATTACTAATTACTGAAGAATACTTTCAGTAAATAATTTGTGTTTAGCTTTTTAGATTGGTAAGTAAAAAGGACTTTTCATGTAGAAAATATTCTTATAATCCAAATTTTTCAAGAATAAGTATCTCATAACTTAAAAGGAATTTATGCATGAATCACCTTGGAATAATGCATGAATTTTGGCAGCGGGGGATGCTATTGTTAAACTTTAATTATTTGTTGTTTCTTTGTTACCAGAAATCCCAAAGAAATATATTTTTAACCAAGTGTTCAAATATAAAATTAAAGATTCATCCCACTAAGTTATTCACAAAATTATATATTAACATTCCTTGGTTCTTCTTTTCTGTTACTGTAGCAAAGAAAATGAAAGCAGCAAAAGTGAATTGTCCATACAGCGGAGGAAAGCATTGTTTGAGAGCCAGAGGGCCCTGGATATCGAGCGAAAACTTTTTGCAAATGAAAGATGCCTTCAGCTTGCAGAAAGTGAAAATATGAAACTGAGAGCTAAGCTAGATGAATTAAAGCTGAAGTATGAACCTGAAGGTATGCAAGTTTCCTATGTTTTTGTCTTTTAAGTCCTAAGTAGCTCTGAGAAAGTGTATCAACATTTTTTTCAAACTATAGCTTTTAGCAAATCTCATTACAAACCAATTTTGTGGTTATCAATCTGTAGTTAATAAGGGAAATTTACAGCTGAAAAATTCAAAGGGAACTAGGTATGCATGAATGTGATATATGGCTTTTTTGGATGTCTAGGCTTCATCATACTGACACTTGAGGCTTTTCCACTTAAAATCGTAGCATATTGTCATACCGAAAAGTTAAATAAGCAGCTAATGTTGGAAGTTATGCTAATTCGGATTATTTATAGAAGATCTAAACACAGTTTAGGTTTAAGTGCTTGTGATTATTCTTCCCCCGATGAAAGTCTGAGGAGGCATTGCAGGATTCAGACTCCTTTTGTGTTGTCTGCCACCATCCCATTGAGCAGAGTTTATTTATGTGGCCTTGCTGTCACAGCAAGGCAAGTTTGAGAAAATTCAATCTTGATTCTCAGGGGCCATGTTCCAACTAAATATTGGGAATTCTATATTTTTTATTGACACATAATAATTGGACATTTATTATGTTTCTATTTATATATACATTGTGTAATGATTAAATGAAGGTAATTAGCATGTGATCACCTTAAATATTCATTCTTCATTGAGAACACTCAACTTCTACAAAATCAACCTGGTTTGGATTCCACAGATGAATAGGAACGTGTAGTGTTTGCCTTTTTGTGCCTGACTTATTTCATTTAACACAAGATCCTTAGTTCATTCAACTTGTCACAAATGACAGGATTTCATACCTTTTTTATGAATGCATAGTATTCTATTACTTATACATATCACATTTTCTTTCTCCATTTATGGGAGTTCAGATATCTAGAAAAACACACACACACACACACACCTAGTATTGGGATTGCTGGGTCACATGTTAATTCTATTTTTAATTTTTGAGAAACTTCCATACTATTTTCCATAATGACTACTAATTTATAGACCCACTCACAGTATATGAGAGTTCTCCTTTCTCCATATCCTCACCAGAATTTCTTTTTTTTTTTTTTTTTTTGGATAATAGTTATTCTGACTTGGATGAAATAGTATCTCATTGTGGTTTTAATTTGCATTTTTCCTGATGTTTAGTGATTTAGTGGTGTTGAGAATTTTTTCGTAAACCTCTGTATTCTTTAGAAAAATGTCTGTTCAGGTCTTTTGCCCATTTTTAAAATCAGATTATATGAAGGGTTTTTGCTATTGAGTTCTTTTAGTTCCTTATAGATACTACATAGTAATGCTTTGTCAGCTGTATAATTTGCAAGCAATTTCTTCTATTCTGTAGTTTTTCTTCACTTTGTTGATTGTTTTCTTTGCTATAGAAACTTTTTAGTTTGATATTATCCGGTTTGCTTATTTTTGCTTTTGTTTCTCCTGCTTTTGAGGGATTGTCTAAAAAACCTTTGCCCAGACAGAGGTCATGCAGCATTTCCCTATGTTTTCTTCAAGTAATTTTATAGTTTTTAGTTGATTTTTGTATATGATAAGAGAGAAGTCTGGCACAAAAATAGGTCCTACACGATCCTATTCATCTGTGAAATTTAAAAAAGGTTGATTTTGTAGAAGTTGAGAATGTTCTCAATGAAGAAACAATGAATATTCATGGTTCTACATGTGGAGATCCAGTTTTCTCAGCACCATTTATTAAAGGACTGTCCTTTCCCCAGTATGTGTTCTGAGCTCCATTGCTCTCTTCACTGTTTTTGTGCTATTTTGGTCAGTTTAGCACTGTAGTATATTTTGAAGTCAGGTACTAGGATTGTTCCAGTTTTGTTCTTTCTGCTCTTTGACTATTTGAAATTTTATTGTTTAAGACAGGTTAGGATTATTTTTTTCTTTTTCTGTAAAGAAAGTTATGGAATTTTGATGAGGATTGCATTGAATTTGTAGATTGCTTTGGGTAGAATGAATATTTTAACAATATTAATTCTTCTAGTTCATGAATATGAGATATCTTGCCATGTTTTTCTGTCTTTTTAATTTTCACCAGTGTTTTATGGTTTTCACTGTAGAGCTCATTCATCTCCTTGATTAAATTTTTTCCTAGGTATTTTATTTCACTTTTTTTTTTTAAAACCATAGCTTTTATAAATGGGATTACTTTCCTTATTTCTTTTTCAGATAATTTGCTATTGTTGAATGGAAACACTACTGACTTTTATATATTGGCTTTAGTATCTTATATCCTTACTGTATTTATTAGTTCTAATAATTTTTAAGTAGAGTATTCAGAATTTTCTGTAAAAGATTGTATTATCTGAAAACAGGGACAATTTCCTTTACAATTCGGCTGCCTATTATTTCTTCCTCTTATCTAATTTCTCTGCTAGGACTTCAAGTTCTGTGTTGAGTCATGACAGTGAATGCTGGTGGCATCCTTGTCTTGTTCCAGGTCCTAAAGGAAACACTTTGATTTTGACCCTGTTGAGTATGATGTCTTTGGGTTTATCATCTATGGCCTTTAATATACTGAGATGTGTTCCTTCTATGCCTAATTTATTCAGAGTTTTTATCAAAAAAGGATGTTAATATTTGTCAATTTTTTTCCTATTGAAATGATCGTATGGTGTTTGCCCTTTTGTCTGTAATGTGATATATCAGCTTGTTGATTTGTGTTTTAAGTCATTCTTAGATCCTAGGGTGAATTCCATTTGATCGTGGTATTTAATTATTTTGATATGCTGTTGCCTTCTGCTCTCCAGAAATTTTTTTTTTTCAGGTTTTCCAATTTGTTTGTATTTACTAGTTCTTAAAATTCTTTGTTTCTGTGGGGTCAGTTTATGTTTCCTTTTTCACCTCTGATTTTTTAAAATTTATTTGAGTTTTTTGTCGCTTTTTTTTTTTTTTGGTCTGGCTAAAGATTTATTCATTTTGTTTATCTTTTCAAAAACCAATTCTTCATTTATCTTTTATTTTTTTTTCCTCTATTTTGGTTATTTGTGCTCTGATCCTTACCATTTCTTCCTTCTAATTTTGGTCTTATTTTTTTTTTCTTAATTTTTTCTAGTTTATTGAGATGAGATATTGAGATCTTCCTTCTTTTTAAAAAAAAATTTTTAAATTGTTTTTGAACCTTTATTTTGTTTATATGCAGGGCTGAGGATTGAACCCAGTGCATCTCACGTGCTAGGCAAGCACTCCACCACTAAGCTGTTCTCTTCCTTCTTTTTTTGAAGTAGGAGTTTATTGCTATAAACTTCCTTCTTAGAACTGCTTTTGCTGAAAGCATAAAGTTTTGGCATATTTGGTATATTTTCATTTTTACTTGTGAAAAGAAATATTTAAATTTATCTTTTAATTTCCTCATTGACTTATTGGTTGCTTCTAAGTATGTTTAATTTTTACATCTTTGTACAGTTTCTGATGTTCTCTTTTGTGGCTTGACATGATACCCTTGAGAACATTTCATGTGCAGTTGAGAGGAATTTGCTGCAGCTGGTGCATGGAAAGGTCTGTAACTTCTGTTAGCTCCATTTGGTCTAGAGTACAGTTTAAATCTGATGTTTCTCTGCTGCTTTTCTGGCTAGATGCTCTTCCATTGCTAGAAGTGGGCTGTTAAAGTACCTTATCACTGCAAAAAAATTGCTGCCTATCTTTCTACATTTAATAATGCTTGCTTTATGTATTTAGACATATATTTACAATTGTTGTATACTCTTTTTTTGTTCTGTAATGGCCTTGTCTCCTCAGTTTTTGACTTGAAGCATATTTTATCTAAGTATAACCACTCCTACTCTCTTTTGGTTTCCATTTGAATGGAATATCTTTTTCCATTTGTTCACTCTCTCTATATATTCCTTACAAGTGAGTGTCTTGTAGGCAGCAGAGTCAGATTTGGGTACTGTCATGTAATTACTTGTTTTCTGGTTGTTTTGTACATCTTTGTTCTTATCTTCCTGTCTTCCTTTGTTGTTAAGTGATTTTTTTTTTTTTTCCTATCAGCATGTTTTGATCCCATGGTTTTTTATTTTCAGTGTATCTATTTAAGGTTTTTGCTCTGTGATTACCATGAGGCTTTCACAGAACATCTTATAATTACAACAGGTTATTTTGAGCTGCAACAACTTAATTTCAAAAACAAAAAAGAAAAAAGCCTTCTACTCTTCAACTCCATTTCTCTCCCATATTTTGAGTTTTTGATGTTAAAATTTACATCTTTTTATATTACATATCCCTTAGCAGATTACTGTATTTGTATTAGTTTTGTCCTTTAGGCTTCTTACTAAGGATATAAATGGTTTACATCCCCTAGTTCCCATGTTATTTTGGATTTATCTGAATGCTCACTTTTACCTGTGGGTTTTTATACCTTCAGATGTTTTCATATTAGACATTCTCATCCTTTTTTTTTTTCTCTCTCTGCATTTGAAGAACTCCCTTCAGCCTTTCTTGTAAGATAGGTCCGGTTGCCATGAGTGCATTCAGGTTTTGTCTGGGAAGGTCTGTCTTCCCTTTACTTCTGAAGAAGCTTTGGTGGGTACATTATTCTTGGTTGGCAGATGTTTTTCCTTCAGCAGTTTGGATATCATCTCATTCCCTTATGTCCTTTGGGTTTTTGCTGAGAAGTCCACCAGTCATATTGGAATTCCCTTCTGTGTCACTTGCTTCTTTCTTTCCTCTTGCTTCTTTCATAGTCCTCTTTGTCTTTGACCTTTGAGAGTTATTTGGGTTGAATCTGATTGGCAACCTTTGATTATCCTGTAATTGGGTGTTTGTATCTTAGATTTGGAAAGTTTTCTGTTATATTTTTGAATAAACTTAATTCTAACCTTTTGTCATTCTCTAGATCCTCTTGGACACCAATGACATAGATTTGCTGTTTTAATGGTGTCCCAGAGATCTCATGAATTTTCTTCATTCCTTCTCATTCTTTTTTCTCCTCTGTTTTCAAATAGCCTGTTATCAAGCTCACCAATTCTTTCCTCTTCTTGATCAGTTCTGCTATTAATGCCCACCAGTGGCTTTTTTATTTCATTTATTTATCAGCTCCAGAATTTGATTTTTAAAAATTATTTCAATCTGTTAAATGTCTCCTTATAAAATTTTCTTAATTGCTCCTCTGTTTTCTTGAAGTTTCTTGAGTTTTTTTTTTAAACCAGATATTTTAAATTCTTTGTCTACCAAATCATGCATATGAATGTCTTTTGGGTCTGTCTTTGGCAATATGTTTTGTCCATTTGATAAGGATATCTTTCCTTGGCTCTTCTTAGTCCTTGTAACATATATCTTTGTCTCTGCATTGATGAATTAGGTATCTCTTCCTTTTTTTTTTTTTTTTTTTTCTTTTTCAGTCTGGACTTGTTTGTGACTATTCTACTTCAGTGGGCTTTTTTAGACATTTTTAGCAGACTGCCTATGGTATTCCATTTCAGCATTAGAGGGCACCCTGAGCTCAGGTTAGATGCAGGTTTTTTGACAACTCTGCTGCTGGTGCAGTTTCCAACCTGGATGGACCCATGGGAGATTCATGGAGTACACTCAAGGCATGTGGGAGAGCCAGTCAGGCTCTTGAGTCCAGAGGATCTATGGACCCCGCCTCCAGCAGTAAACATTCCCAAACATTCTGTCTGCTAGCATGTCTCCTCTGGCAGGGATGGAGGGCCAGTGCCAAGTTCTGTGTGCTAGTTCAAGCCCTACTTCTCCTTCCTTCTAGCTGGTCTCAGGAGCATCCCACGGAGTTCTCAGTGCTTGCTGTGAGCCCATGCAGTGAGACTCCCACAGAGTTACTCTGGTGGTGAGGAAGTCAAATATCTATTTCTTGCTTACTTTTTTCAGTGTACACACTGAGTTCTGGGGGCTTTCTGCAGGTGGTACCATGAAAGCTTGGGGACAAGGGGTTGCAGTAACAGGGAACCTTTCCCCTTGTGGGCTTCACAGTCTAACTTACCTGTTCTGGTTTTCTGAGTTCTTGTGAATGTATTTTTGTGGCATATAGTTATTTAGTTTGGTCGTTCTGTGGGGGATTTATCACTGGAGATTTCTACCCGACCTCTTCTCTTACAGTTCTAGCCTTTAAGGAAAAATGTTTGGACAGTTATTAGAGCAAGTCACATCACCGAGAAAAAATAGCCCAATACACTCTCTGCCTCTTGTATACTACAAAAAATGAACTTTACTATGTATAAATTTTAAAATAAAAGGCCAAATGTAAAGAAGTCCATGAATGTGATGGTCCTAACTCCCTCCCCTCCCCAAAAGATATTGTCAACATGTTTTAGGTTAAGGATTCTCAACAGGTTTCTGCCCCACCCTGTTAACAGGCTGAACTCTGTTCATTGTGGTCAATAATGGGGAAAATGTCAACGATGATAAGTTTTTTATATTGTTTTAAAAGACTTCTCTTTCATTTGTCCTTTTTCTCTTCCCTGATCCTAGTAAGCTCCTATGTGTAAAAATTACCCATTAGGAATTTCAGGGGTAGTGTGCTGAACTGAACACAGCAAAGGGACAGGAGGATGGTTAGTAAATCCAGATGATGTGGGTTTCAAAGGAGCAGCAAGGGATATCCAATATTCAGAGTTTGACCTGTTCTTTTCATTTAATCCTTGTAACAGACAAAGCAAAGTAGGTATTTTTAATCTGCATTTTGCAGATTTAGAAACCTTAAAATGTAGGTTGATTAAATACTTTCCTAAGGTCATCCAGCTGCTAAGTGCCAGACTTGATCCTAAACTCCCTGACTTTTGGCCATTGCGTCTTTATGTCCATGGCACCAAGGTCTCCCTTAGGAACCATCTCCCCTTAGAATTTTTTATCAAAATACTACAAGAGAACATTTTATTCATTCCTAGAATTCCTGTATTGAGTTCCCAAGGAAAGACTTATGGTCAAAATAACCTATAAAAGCTTTAATTAATGCAATCTATGAAAAAGAAAGAAAAAAAAAGAAACAGATTTCAGTGAGGAGATGAGTGGATTTTGAAAGAATAGAAAAAAGGAAAAGACTTCATATATAATTGCTCTCCCTTGGTCTGTCTTTTGTTCATTGACTGGATTTTTCTAATGGTTTTCATTCTTAGAGAAAATCGAAGTTCCTATACTCAAAAAGAGGCGGGAGGTGCTACCTCTGGATGTGACCCCTGCTGAAGACGAATGTGCCAGCAGTGCTGCCGGGGAAGGAACTTCTAGATTCCCACCTCACAAGGAGACACAGTCCTGTCCTAACCCTTCAGAAGGTGACTTGCAGTTAGAAAAGTCAGTGTCTGCAAACACTCCCACTGCCCCTCTCTCTCCTCACAAAAATCTGCCCGTGGATGTGCAGCCAAAGAAGGAGAAGAAATGTGTGAAGCTTGCTCAAGCCTTAAGTGAAAGAAGTGAGAACACGCCCGGCTCTCTCAGGTCAGTGTCCTCTTTTCAAGGCAGCCAGCAGCCCTCCCTTTCTCTCCCTTCTCGCTGCATGAGCTATGCTCTTTGTCTCTTTATCTGTCTTCTCAATATTGCATGCAGTCTAATCCCCCAGTTTCATCTGCCCGCCTTCAACTTCTCTAAAACTTTGAGAAAGACAAAAATGATTGCAAGGGGAAAGGACTCCTGAAGAAGGGAGTCATTAGAAAGCCACACATCTCTCTTATTGGTTTGAATAAATGTGCTATTACTTTTCTCCTGGTAAAGGAGTAGCCATGAAGGAACAATCAACTTACCTTCTCAAAGGTTTTCCAGTAGTCTGAAGACAGTTTAGTTAAGAAAATGTAGGTGAAGTTTTCTATGGCTTTTGATGTTGTTTATACCAGTCCTTCAGACATTACTTTTAATTATTTTGACATTTTTAAATATCCAAGGTAATTTGTTTCCATTTTTTCTAAAACATCAAAGCCTCCAATTTCTGCATAATTGAATTTGTGACTTAAAAGAGAAAGTGTCAGATATGTGTATCTGAAGGACCAGTTGAAGGGCCTTGTCCTTTAAAAGGAATAGAAGTGAGAAGGTAAGAGCAAGTGAACAGAGGGAAGAGGATGTAACTGGCTGCAGCTGGAGTTCTGGGCATGCACAGCAGGATCTGGGTAAGATAAATAGAAGTGAGTGAGGGAAATGGAGGGGAAATCAAGATGAAGGTTGTGTAATGCAATGGCAGGTATATTAAAAATAAACACTTTTAGACATGTAAAATTCAAACTTGTTTCTGTGACAGTAGCCAGCTTGGGTTGTCTCCAATGAAGTGAGGTTTTTAAGGTGCTACTAGGGCTACTTTGTTCTTAGAAAGAAGGGAACAGAATCAGGCATTTTCTGTGTGCATTTAATCAAAAAAGTAAAACAGTCCATCGTATGTAAAAGAACTTCCTTGTATGTTTTATCTGATTTTTTCTTTAAATTTTCAGTGCTACTAAATATACTCAACAATGATAAAACTCTAGCTGCTGCTGTTATTGTAAGGAAGACTAATTAATTATTTCCTTCCTTGAGTTTTTGTATAATGTTGTAAGTCACATAAAATAAGAGCTTGATATTCTTGAGGAAATGACAAATGGATGCTACCTGACAGTACCCATAGCGCTAACTGTACTGAGGCGAGTTCCGCAGGCCGTGCATGTGTGTGTGTTGCTCACTGTGGGAGTGTGCATATGGCCAGTGCGGGTTTGCGTGGCTCACAGTGTGGGTGTGTGTGTGGCCTGTATGGTCTTCCAGAGGTGGATTTCCAGAACCGATCAGTGCATATCTTGCTAGCTATGTTGCCTTCATTTCTTCTTCTGCCCTTTTGTGCTTGAAAAAAATATTGCTTCAATGTATCTAGTTAAATTGTTTGACTCAAATTGCATATTGGAAACTATTTGCCTTGCTAGTTAAACAAAAACAAATAAAATACCACAAAACACTTGATTTTTTTTTTTTTTTTGCGTGTGTGTGAGTCCATCTGCTCACTGCAGACATTTCCAACCTTGTGTCTTGCATGCTTAACTTAGATACACAATCTGAAGATGATTTTATAACAAAAGTGGTTTTTATTGGAAACTTCACTGTCGCATGCTTTATAAATTTAATTGATGCTCTTCTTTAAAGTGTTCGCAGGCCTATTTTAGTATCTCCCCACTGTTTATATTTTTCTTTAACTATTCTCCTAGTTGAAACTCAGTTTGAGTGTGTTTTCATTGTCTGAGACAGACATCTGTGCAGCCAGGATCCCATGGTGTTTTCATCTTGTGCATGGGCCTTTTGTGTGTCATGTTATCTTTAAAATACTGCTCCAGCATTTCAATTTTTGTGTTATGTGTACTTATCATGATAAATATCTCATCAAATTTAATTCTTTAATCTAGGCCTTAACAAGCCTTTTTATCAACCTTAACATATTTACTAGACATTTAAAAATTAAGTCTATTGATAAGAATAATTCCTTTCAAGAGTCATTTAGTATTTTAATGGTACTAGAGTCAACTAATTTTTTTCCTTATTAAAAAAAAAAAAAATAGCACCATTCCTCCTTAGAGGCTCAATATATTACGGGTTTGTTTCTCTATTTTTTTCATTAACTACATTTGAATTCAGAGTGGATGCTTTAATGCCTGTAGGTTAGCCGCTGAGTCAATGCTTCAAACAGACGTTAATGAAGGGAAAGAACCTGCAAGCAAATTGGAAAAAGAACCTTGTAAGAAATCACACCCTATTGTATACGTGTCCTCCAAATCCACTCCGGAGACCCAGTGTCCTCAGCAGTAAGGGCTTCTCTCTGATCAGAGAGAGGTACTACTTGCCCTGAGGTTACTGAGGAGTTTAGTTAAGAGCCAGAGTGGTGCCAGAGTGCGAAATACTCACATCTCCACATTGTATCAAGAGCCGGCATTTCCATGCTTCTCAACCAGGCTTTCAATTTTGATTGTGATTCTAAGGAGAGTTTCTTAAGTGATGACCCTTCATGGATCTTCTGTGATTCACACTGAATAAACTGTTAACGGAAGGAAGACTATACTTAATTTAAATCTACATGCAGTGTAGTGTCTGGATTTTTTTCAAGTGAAGTGAATACTTTAACCTACCTTCAGAGCCATATATTCAGAGAATGAACTAATTTACTATTATATTTTCATATGTAATCTTTTTATGAACTTAGTTTTTCACTGTATTGTTAAAAATAGGAAATTTGATTTGAAAATATATATTGTTATAGATTTTGTCAGTGTTTAAAGCACCTATATGTATCTTTATTTATATTCACTTTATGACTGAAGCATATGAGACAAATAATTTTTAAATGTAAAATAAAATTGCAACAATTTCTTCTCTTTGTGTTTTCTTATTCTGTGTGGATAACAGGATATTATCAAAAAAGAATAAAGGTGTGATCAAAAAAAAAAAAAACTTCAGGGATTCTCAATTCCTTGATAACTATGATCTTACATATATTTATATGTATTTTATATATAACTTTATATTTTGTGAATATATACCTATATATTAAAAAAGATTTAATGCTAAACTTTCTAAATGAAACCTAAATGAATATAGATTGGTTCATAGCAATTTCATGTATATTTTCTATAGGTGGGTGAATTAGGGTTTTTTCATGTACATATACCTACATATTTTCACATTCATTCATATTCACAAGCATTTCTGAATCCAGTGTGCTGAATTAGAAATGTTTCATTTAGTAAATTAAGTCTGAATAGAAATCTAGGAGCAACACCACAAAGAGTTTGGGAAATTTTTTTACAAAGAGACTTGCACAAATATTTAAAGAAATTAAGCAACCAATTGAAGGTTGAAGAACAGGGCCAACAAGGTAATCTCATACATTGAGGCTCTGCCTTAATCCCTAGAAACTGAGGCAATTCTGTTGATCTTGAGTCTTCTAGGAATATATTGAAAAATCACTGCTGTAGATGATGGGAAACAAATAATGGATATAAACAAAATAGTGTCCTCACTCAATTTATTTTAGTGCAAGCTTTGCAAAGTCATAATGGAAAATGGATTTAAAAAAAGCTAAGAATGGAGGCCAGAAATGGCAAGGTTTGTCATTGGATAGTACAGTTAAATGCACAATCAGACTGAGGCGGTAGGTCAGTAATATAAAATGAGAGTTGGATTCAAGATACAGTTTAAAAGGAGCAGAATGGTCAGTAAGGGTTGAAAATGAGATGTGGGACTCAGATATTAGTGGATAAATGGTGGTGGTAATAGAATGTAGGAGTTGAGGGATTCAGTTCGGGTGGACACTTTTACTCAAGTACATGCAGGGAGCTGGGCAAAATGGCGCACACCTATAATCCCAGCCACTCAGGAAGCTAAGGCAGCAGGATTACAAGACACCGTCTCAAAAATTAAAGGAGCTTGGGATGTACCTCAGTGGTAGAGCACCCATAGTGTGTATGATTTGCAAAAGTAAGTTTTTTTTATTGAAACTTAATTTTGAAAGGAAAATGTGAACTAACATATAGCCTTGTTCTAACAGGCACATTTCTCCCTATCATTACTCCAAAAAGTAGCCTTGGTTTATTCACTATTAGACAGAACCTGGAGTACAGATGGCAAAACTATTTTGCCTCCTTGAGAAAGGTGTTAGTAGGAGGAAGCTAATGTTTGATTTGCTAGATATTTTATGTTCTGCTTCTCTTAGCATAATAATAAGATTGTAGCATTCTAGGATATCTGAACCCAAATCTGAACTTCTCAGCATAAAGTTAGACTTGGGCAACTTTGTCTCTGGGAACAGTTGCTTTGGGTATTGCTTTTTTTTTTTAATAGTTGTAAGTAGACACAATACATTTATGTTATTTATTTATGTGGTGCTGAAGATCAAACCCAGCACCTTCACACGTGCTAGGCAAGCATTCTACCACTGAACTATAACCACAGTTCCTGTGTATTGCTTTTTTAATATTTTATTTTTTTATAATTATTTATAATATGTAGATCCATAATCTACAAAATAAAATACATTTATAAGAAAGGTTGCTTTTATCCTTGTGTATGACTTACTTTTTCTCCCCTAACCTTTATGTAGACAATATAGGTAGATAGACTTTTCACTCCCTTTCTTAGATTAAAAATAGAATACTGAGAGATGTCAGAGAAAAATGGTGTATAGGGAGCTTCAATGGACCACCCGTTCCTCTACAAAATTAGCCAATTAACTAAGGAATTGTAGAAAGCATAATGTGACTGTAGGAACTCTGGAGATTGATCAAGAGTGTATAGCAGTGAGGGAACAGTCAAGGAAAAAATCAGCCTGAGTGTCGGCATTGAAGGAGATCTCAGATGATCACTACCAAATATTATAAGTAGCAATTACACAGAACACGCTTAAACCACCAGTGGGGTCAAAGAATCACAAAGAAAATACTTTTAAAGATGAATTTTAAATACTTAAGATGAATGAAAGTGAAAATGTAATAGAACTTAGGAGGAGATGTAGCAATGTCAGAAGGACTCAGCAGGAAATTTATGGCTGTAAATTCCTGTGTTTAAAAAGGATCTCAGGCCAATAACTCAACTTTAAGGAATTAGAAAAATGAAGATTGAATCCAAAGCTAGGAGGAAAGAAAAAATCAGAGAGACAATACAAAAATAATAAGATGTGTGGAAACAAAACGTTCATTCTTTGAAAAAAAAAATCAATAAAATTGGCAGACTCAATTAGACAAACCAAGGGAAAAGAAGAAAAGACTCAAATTGATGAAATTAGAAATGAAATTGGGGCAATACTAACCATTTTATAGACATAAAAATCATAAAACAATACTGTAAACAGTTATTAATTAGATATACCAATGAAGTTGTCAAATTCCTAGAAAAAAAAAAAACTACCAAAATCTAAGAAGAAACAATTATAATATGGCATAACAAAAAAGAGATTGTAACAGTCAATAGTTTAAATAATAATTTTAAAAATAAATAATATTTTTTAAAAAACTTTCAGAATAAGATTCTGGGACCTGCTGGCTTCACCAGCAAACTCTATCAAATGTTTTCCAAACCTTGCCAAAAAAGTAGAAGATCATTTCATAACTCATTCTTTTAGGAGAGTATTAGCCTTATACCAAAACCAAACAAAAACTTTAGAAGAAAACTATAGACCAATATCAATGATGACTGTGGCTGCAGAACTCTGTAAGGTAAAGGAATAGATACCATGGCTGTCAGGGCTTGCATCTGAATTGCCCCCCCAAAGGCTCATGGGTTGAAGACTGTCCCCAGTGCAGATGTGGGTCTTTGGGGAAGTAATTGGATCGGGAGAATTCTGACCTTCTATATGGGTTAATCCATAAATCCATAGCTGAATGGGTTATTGGACAGTGATGGGACCTAGTTGGAGAGAGTGGGTCCTTGGCAGTGTGCTCTTGAGGGCTGTATCTTGTCCAGGGCCTCTTCCTCCCTCTGTGTTTCCCAGCTGCCATGAGGTGAGCAGCTTTGCTGTGTCATACCTTTCTGCCATGATACCCTACCTCACCACAGGCCCAGTACAATGTAGCAAGCTGTCCATGGACTAAAACCTCTGAAACTGAGCCAAAGTGACTCTCCTCCCCCAAGTTCTATTTTGTCAGAGCAATGAAAATCTGACTAACACAATGGCCAAGCAGGATTTGTTCCAGGAATTCAGATTGGATTAAAGTGAAAATCAATGTAATATAAATAGAAAGCTACCCCATGTTCAGGAATTGAAAAGCTCAATATTGTTAAGATGGCAGTACTCGTTGTCTTAGTCAGCTTGGGCTACTGAATCCTGGGTGGTTCAAGCAACATTTTTCACATTTCTGAATGCTTGGAAGTTCAAGACGAAGGTGCTAATAGATGCAGTGTCATGAGGGCCCACTTTCTGGTGTGCAGAGCAATCATTGTATATTCTCATATGGTGAAGAACAGAGAAAGTAAGTGCATGTCTCCTTATAAGGTCACTAGTCCCATTCATGAGGACTCTACTCTCATGACCTGATTACCTCTTGAAGCACCCCCCCATACCATGGCAGTGGGGGTTAGCATTTCAACATAGGACTGGGGAGAGGGCACATTCGGTCCATAAGATGACCCAAGTGATCTGCAGAATCAATGCAATTCCTATCAAAATCCCAATGGCCATTTTTTTTGCAGAAAAGCTAATTCTAAAATTTAAGTGGAATTGAAAGGCATCCCAATAACTAAATTCAACTTTAAAAAGAAGAAAGTTGGAGATCTTTCACAAATTTCCATTTCAAAACTCACTGTAGAATTGCAGGAAACAAGACAGATACATGCTGCAATGTGGATGAACCTTGAGAACTGGCACAAAAGACATTTGTTTTATAATTCCATTTGTGTGACATATCTAGATAGGCTCATCCATAGAGAGAACAGCTTCCTGGTTGGCAGAGACAGAGAGGAGAAGGGAAAAGGGAAAAACTGCTTGATGGACACAATTTCAATTTGAAATGAAGAAAATGTTGTAACTAGATGGTGGTGATGGTTTCACAACATTGAATGTACTTAATTCTACTGAACTGGACACCTTAAAACAGTTAAAATGATGACTTTTATGCTATGTCACAGAAATTCCTAAAATCTTGTAGAAAGCAGCTTTTGGAATGTATAGTGTGCAAAAAGAATGGCCTCAAATTAACAGTTTAAAGTTTGAGGAAAGTAAAAAGAAAATCTAGCAATTAAACCTTTAAATTTTTTTGAGAAAGAAAGTACATTAATAAGAAGAAATCAATGAAATAGTGTATAAGTATGTAGTAGAGAATCCACAAAGCCAAAAATTGATTAATCTAAAAAGATTATAAAACTGATAAACTGCAAACCAGATTTATGAAGTAAAAAAGAAAATACCAGTTAATAATATCAGGAATAAAGAAAATACATTACAGAATTTACTGATTTTTAAAAGATAACAGGTGGATGATCAGGTTACACCAACAAATCTGACAATTAGGATAAACTGATTAAATTTTTTGAAAAACACTATTTAAAAAAAAAAAAAACATAAGAAAATTTGAATTACCTGATATTAAATTGACATTTTAACTAAATGTTTTTCCATAAAGAAAACTCTAGGCCCAAAACTTGAATGCATTCTTCTAATCATTTTAAAAACAACACCAACCTTAAAATTAATATTTTTTTTGTATGTTTGTTATTGGTAGTTACGCGGGGTGCTGAACCACTGAACTACAGCCTTTTTTATTTTTTATTTTGAGACAGGGTCTCACTAAGTT